TCTCTCTCTCTCTCTCTCTCTCGCGCGCGCTTTTGTCGCTGTCTTCTGTCGTGCCGCGGCTCTGTCGATGTGGCGTCTTTTTCGCCTCAATTATTTCTTCTCTTTGCCTATGCCTCATTAAGTGCGTTTTCGTTCTATCACCGCGGTGCACGTGCTTGTTATAGCCAGTTACTCATCTGTTGGTGTAAATGCTAATTGCTGCCCTTGGCCGCACATTACGTCGTTAACCTTGATGCATTATCACGCACTCTCGCCCATTATTGCGCGAATTATTGGTATTCGCTGTATTATATCGCGCCGTGTTTTGCATAATCTAATAATGCAATTATATAGGCAAAATACCGCTGGTCATATTTGTAGACTATCGATTTAATCATCGGCTTCACGCCTCAAGTTGCTTCTGCTGCTCTAGCTGAAAATTGCGAAGTAACAGTTGCGCACGATGATAACAACGGGCGTGACACTCTATAACGCTGGGAAATGAAGCGAATTCGAACGAATAGCTGCACTGTCATATTACTCGTGCACCTTGCAACGCTAGACAATGTCTTTAAGAGAGGGGGGGAGAGAGAGAGAGAGAGGTGTGAGATGGTATGAGCGACGAGAGAAAGATTATACGCGGTCAAAGACAAATAAAAAAAAACAATAGTCGACGGAAGACGTTTTTGATGGCCGTGTGAGATTATACACGTATTTTTCTAACCGGATAGGTTTCTCCGCCGGATATACGTGATTGTTTGCGCGTCTGCTTGTTTGTTTTTTGTTTGTGTGCTCGCTTGATTTGTACTGCGCCTGGAACAAAACACGTTTTTTTTAGAGAAAAGTGCGTAAGGCTTTTTAAGGGGTTTGGAGGGTAAACAAGAATCCGGAATAAAGGAAGTCGTTCCAGGAGGCATCGATTATAATGTCGATATATAGTGTATATGTCGATATTTCTCCTATCCGATAAGTGGTTGTCGTGACGGTGGCAGAGAATGTATTTGTCTTGGTGCACACCTTGATTTTACCTTCTTAGAGTCGGCAAGGCAGACGGACTCGTGATTACTCTGTCACGGAAAAATATAAAAGACATGTTGTATGATCAATGACAAGGAATCGTTTCCTCCACATGCGTGTTTTCAGTATATCTGCGTTGGCATGTATGACGAGCCGTATCCTAATGTTGCTGAAGTATTGCGACCAGATTAATGAGAACATAATATACGTTTCTAATCTTCAATTATTATTATTCGAGATATATTATTTAAGTTCTATTATTATTGAGCGATTTCGTGGGTGCTTGTTCCCCCAGTTTGCTATTAGCAGCGCCCACGCTTACATCCTCGCTCGTAATCGCAGCGCTCGCACCGATTGCGTGTTTCACCCTCGCATGTTCGTTGCAGAGATGGAAGAGGAGAGGAAACTGAAGGAGGAGCAGCAGAAGCGAGACGTGGAGGCATTGGAGTTTCCACACCGGCGACGCAACAAGGTGCTCGCCGCCCTGTTCGCACTCACCGCCATGATCGGCTACGCGCTCGTCACGGGCATTGTACAGGTGAGAACATTACTACGTACATGTGCACTGTGATATCGTACAGGTGAGAACATTACTACGTACCTGTACACTGTGATATCGTACAGGTGAGAACATTACTACGTACCTGAGAACAAATTAGGCGTAACCTACATGTGCACTGCCTTGATAATCGTAACAGGGAGAACATTACTACGTACCTGTATAGTGTGATATCGTACAGGTGAGAACATTACTACGTACCTGTACATTGTAACATCGTACAGGTGAGAACATTGCTACGTAACTGTATAGTGTGATATCGTACAGGTGAGAACATTACTATACGTACCTGTATAGTGTGACATCGTACAGGTGAGAACATTACTACGTATTTGTACATGTGATATCGTACAGGTGAGAACATTACTACGTAACCTGTACACTGTGACATCGTACAGGTGAGAACATTGCCACGTACCTGAGTGGATATCGTACAGGTGAGAACATTACTACGTAACATTATACATTGTGACATCGTACAGGTGAGAAACATTACTACGTACCTGAGTGTGATATCGTACAGGTGAGGAACATTACATACGTACTTGTACTGTGATATCGTAGCAGGTGAGAACATTACTACGTACCTGTACACTGTGACATCGTACAGGTGAGAACATTACTACGTACCATGTACACTGTATATCGTACAGGTGAGAACATTTACTACGTACCTGTACATGTAACATCGTACAGGTGAGAACATTACTGACGTACATGTGCACTGTGATATCGTACAGGTGAGAAGCATTACTACGTACCTGTACATTGTAACATCGTACGGGTGGCATTGAGCACAGACTGAGTAAACGATTCAGGAGTTATACGTTGTTTTTTCATCAAATGTAAGTATAATTTCCACGTGCAGCATTGCCGCTTAATGCGCATTTGAAATACAACATGATACGTAGTGACAATCACACGCGTGGTTGAATGTCTAATATATCAATTTGGTTCAAGGTTTACACGTCCGTAGGTGCCTCTACCTCATTGCGTGCGCTGCGTGAAATTAGAGTTGGATATTCTGGGCCCCACATGCAAGTCGTGTGTTAAGGCTAAGCCGCGCTTTGTGATAAATATTTAATCTCGAACTGACAGTGAATCTTGTTAACCCATTCCGTTCGTCTGAAGGGATAATACAAGGGTATCACTACAAATAATTTCCAACCTAACAGCGTTGGCAATTTCGATGAAATTTTCCGTGCGATGCATTCCAAAACGTGCCCAAAAAACTAAACACATACGAAAATGATGCCACGCCAGTATGCGCAGGAGCGCGAAATCATAGAACTTCATTTTACTTAAAATCATACGTGTTGTCAATTACGCGTATTTCTGTTTTCCTCTGTATTATGTATTCTGAGCTTCCATACGCGCTGCTATTCGCTTGTTTCCTTTTGCTGTCGTTGGATAGAGTGGACACGTTAATTAAAGTGAAATCAAGAACTTAACCTGGTCTACACGACCGTCTTTCGATCGCTTGCGACTACGACGAATCGTCGCGTGCAACAGATCACTCGTGTCAGTCCTGTTCGATACTCGACATGTCGCTGCAACCACGCTGCAACTGCAAGTTAAGATCACGTGACTCGCTTGACCTGCTGCTATTGGTCGGTTACATAGAGCCGGTGTGGAACTTGACACAGCCACTCGCAGACGCGCTGTGCAATCTGCCACACGTGGAAGAAAATATCAAACACGTGTGATATTTTCCACACGCAAGAAATCGATGCGTTGGCATGCGCCACGCTGTGTTTTGTGGCTGCGCCCAATCAGCCACGCGTGGCCGATGGCGCAGCACAAAACACAGCGTGTGCGGCGGGCTTTAGCGACGGACAACCGGTCCGCGTGCGCTAGGAGGCCCTGCACCCTACTTTACTCCGACTCACTCTACTCTCTGCGGCATCCGCCTACGATTCGTCTCTAAATCCCCGTTAATGGCGTTCTTTGCTTTGACCTTGCGACAGGTGGAGATAGTCGACGAGGACAGGAGCGGTGATGATGAACTCGATGAAGACGTCGATTTTGCTAAGAATGACAGGGACCAGTAGACAACGTGCAGGCCAGCTGCGCGCATGACGTCACGTGCGGGTGTGCACGCGTTCCTAGGACGTCACGCTAGATGACGTCGGTCACACTGAAGGCGATCATTGCGCGCGTTCTGGTGACGTCACCGACCGCGTGCGAGCGGTTAGCAGAAGCAGCCGTAGATATATATTGTCGTCTTTCGTAGCCACGCCGTAGTGCGCGAACGTGAAAGTCTGCGTTAAAGACGTTGGTATTATGAATTTAGAGCTACTACTAAATGTAGTCAGTGCGCCGGTGTTTGATTCGGACTGTTGTTTCTTCTGCTATATATATTACATGTGAAAGGCTCACATTGTCGAAGTTCAGTTTAGTCGAACTAAGTGGCTGCATTGTGCAGCATTGCTACTACGGTCTACCGGTGACTTTAGAGATCGTTCGTGCTACGTACATTTTCACAGTCTACTAACACTGAGAAATAAATGATCATAGACTAATGTGACAGATGATTATGCTCGTTGTTCTCTGTATTTATGCTCGTTGTTGCTCCTGTCACGGTCGCCACATAGGAAAATTGTAAAATAATATTTTACAATTATTTTATACAATTTATTGACATATTATGTGCTGATATTGTTTACGTGTCACGTATTACTGATCTCTCATTTTTATTTCATTGTGGTGTTCATCAGTAATCATATAATCTTTTGGTAATGTTTATTATGATGATCATAGCTTTTATTTTTAGGCGACATTGTCCGCATTTGGCATTATCAATCCTAAAATCTACGTCACTGCGTTGAAATACGGGGTACTGATGTCGTGTAGCACAGAGCTATGCTATGCGGTTACAGTTTGATGCGGTGGTGCGCGCGTTGAATGCGGGATGTTTACTATACCGTGGATGGCATTTGTAACGGAAGCTCCGTCGACTGAGCGACTGCTCTTCACGCCGTGATGCTGCGATGAGAAATTTTGGTTCGATTTGTAATTTTTTAGCGTTGCACGGCAGCAGGGGTGCTAACGACCTGCTGGCGTCAGCATCCTAGCTCCCTGCTGCCGGGAAACAAAATTAATCCTAACATCGGTGTTAACCCTTAACTAACTCCTAACCTTTAGCTTACTCTCGTCGACCGTTGACAGCATTTTGCTTTTCGTAAAGTTGTGAGGAAAGTTCGATCGGTTTTCTCATTTTCGTAACTTTACGATGTTTTACGAAGAGAAAGGGTCAATGTTAGGACTAATGTAAAGACTAATTTTCGCTCTGACACCGGGTCGGTGAGCCGTAGGTGAGAGCTGCTTCACTGGATGATGTATGTGATCAGGCGCTCTCGTTGGTCTCCTGGGACACACGTATACACACACACACGCACTCAACATTTCTTGTGAGATGAGTTCGATGTTTACTGTTTCTGCCGCTGTCACACGGCATATGAAATCGATGCGTTTGCATGCGCAACACGCTGTGTTTTGCTGCTGCCCTACGTACCTGTACACTGTGATATCGTACAGGTGAGAACATTGCTACGTACCTGTACACTGTGATATCGTACAGGTGAGAACATTACTGCGTACCTGTACACTGTGATATCGTACAGGTGAGAACATTGCTACGTACCTGTACACTGTGACATCGTACAGGTGAGAACATTACTACGTACCTGTACACTGTGATATCGTACAGGTGAGAACATTACTACGTACCTGTACATTGTAACATCGTACAGGTGAGAACATTACTACGTACATGTGCAGTGTGACATGGTACGGGTGGCATTGAGCACAGACTGAGTAAAGATTCAGAGTTATACGTTGTTTTTTCATCAATGTAAGTATAATTTCCACGTGCAGCATTGCGCTTAATGCATTTGAAATACAACATGATACGTAGTGACAATCACACGCGGTGTTGAATGTCTATATTATCAATTTGGTTCAAGGTTTACACGTCCGTAGGTGCCCTACCTCATTGCGTGCGTGCGTGAAATTAGAGTTGGATATTCTGGGCCCCACATGCAAGTCGTGTGTTAAGGCTAGGCCGCCTTTGTGATAAATATTAATCCGAACTGACATGTAATCTTGTTATATCCCACTTCCGTTCGTCTGAAAGGGATAATACAAGGGTATCACTACAAATAATTTCCAAACCTAACAGCGGGTTGGCAATTTCGATGACATTTTCCGTGCGATGCATTCCAAAAACGTGCCCAAAAAAACTAAACACATACGAAAATGATGCCACGCCAGTATGGCAGGAGCGCGAAATCATAGAACTTCATTTTACTTAAAATCATACGTGTTGTCAATTACGCGTATTTCTGTTTTCCTCTGTATTATGTATTCTGAGCTTCCATACGCGCTGCTATTCGCTTGTTTTCCTTTTGCTGTCGTTGGATAGAGTGGACACGTTAATTAAAGTGAAATCAAGAACTTAACCTGGTCTACACGACCGTCTTTCGATCGCTTGCGACTACGACGAATCGTCGCGTGCAACAGATCACTCGTGTCAGTCCTGTTCGATACTCGGACATGTCGCTGCAACCACGCTGCAACTGCAAGTTAAGATCACGTGACTCGCTTGACCTGCTGCTATTGGTCGGTTACATAGAGCCGGTGTGGAACTTGACACAGCCACTCCGCAGACGCTGTGCAATCTGCCACACGTGGAAGAAAATATCAAACACGTGTGATATTTTCCACACTGGCGGGTGTGTGGTGGAGGGTGGCGGGTGTGCGGGGGTGTCATGATGATAACGACGATGACGGCGACGATCACGGCGGCGGCGACGACAACGGTCATGATGACGACGATGTCGACGACGATGACGACGATGATGATGATGATGATGATGATGATGATTATGATGCACGGACGCACGTGTCGGTCGATCGGATGCTTAGATTGGATTGCCACTGCGCGTGCTCTCGCGTCGCTAGATTTATCCGTTGTACGTTTAGCCATTAGTTTAGTCCCTCCTAATTGAACCGAGTGGATAACGTTACTGGCGCGGCAAAGAAAAGAGACTTAAAGACATTGCTAGCGTTGCAAGGTGCCGGATGTAATATGACGTGCAGTCTATTCGTTCGAATTCGCTTCATTTCCCAGCGTGATGACAGTGTTCCACGCGTTTTTATTCATTCGTGCGCAACTGTTACTTCGCAATTTTCAGCTAGAGTAGCAGCAGCAACTTGAGCGTGAAGCATGAATGTAAATCGATAGTCTACAAATATGACCAGCGTAATTTTGCTATAATTGCATTATAGATGCAAAACATCGCGCGATTTAATCACGATCTCAATAATGTCGCGCATAATGTGCGGGAGTGCGTGAAATTGCATCAGGTTTAACACGTATATGTGCGCCAAGGGCTCAATTAGCATTTACACCAACAGATCAGTACTGCTGATAACAAGCAGCGTGCAGCCGCGGTGATAGAACGATAAACGCATCCGTAATGAGGCATAGGCAAAGAGAAGAAAATACTTGAGGCGAAAAAGACCCACACGACAGAGACCGCACGACAGAGACAGCGAGAAAGAGCGCGCTCGCGAGAGAGAGAGAGAGAGAGGGGGGGAGGAGAGAGAGAGGTGGGAGATGGTATGAGCGACGAGAGAAAGATTATACGCGGTCAAAAACAAATAAAAAACAATAGT